AATAATAATTAAGAAAATAAATGTTTGATATTTTATTATTACAACTATAAAACATCCTACATACTCAATAATAATTAAGAAAATAAATGTTTGATATTTTATTATAACAATATAAAACTCAATAAAATAATTAAGAAAATAAATGTTTGATATTTTATTATAACAATATAAAACTCAATAAAGTATTAGATATAAATTTTTTCTTCTTTAGAGAATGTGAGATATTTATGAAAATGTTACTTTTAATAATTTGGAGAAGGAAGAATTTTTGCAGAATGCTACAGATTTGGGGAATGACTCTTTTTTCTTCTCCATCCCCATTTTAGAGAATGAGATGGAGAAACTGTTGGACTTAAAAATAGCTCTATATTCCCCAAAATTAAGAAGATGTGGAAGCTGTTGGAGATGCTCTTAGTCATTCCTTTAGGAAAAAAATAAGCCTTAAGTGCACTTAAATGCCTATAGTTTATCCAACATTGTACTTAAATGACCTCATTTTTCAAACTGACAAAAAAAAGCGCCAAAGTATTTAATTTTTGCAGATAAATGCTTCAAAGTTTTAAAATGTTGCACGTTAACGCCATCTTGTTTACCCGATATTGCAAATAAATGATCCAAAGTTTGTAAATGGCTTCATTTAAGTACCCTAAAGTTTCTAAGATTTTCACTTTTGTACCCTCTGTTATGAGATGTAAAGAAAAGATAACATTGTTTGATTTAGTTTTAACTATGGGGTATTCATTTGTAGCACTTAAATACTTTGAATCATTTTTTATTCCGTTTGAAACTATAGGGCATTTAAGTGCAATTAAGGGAAAAAATAATGACAATCTTTATCCTAATTTTTTGGAAGATTGGGTACATGAATCATATCTTTGAACTCAATAAAACACATATACTTTTCTATACTTAAAGGAGAATCCAAAGAATTACTGACCATACTACAGTAAGTGCTACATTAATACTGTAGTATGAACACTAAACCAAATTTGGTTCTTTAAGCACTCGAAAATACTGTTCATGCTACAGTATTTGTTGCATCATAAACAGTAAATCAAATGTGCTTTTCCATACTTAAAGTTCCTATTCATCTATAAAATTTACTGTACACAAACAGTAAGACAAATCAAATGTATTAAAATTTGGATCCTTCTTTACGTATAGAAAAGGAGATATAATTTCTAAATCAAATATATTAAAACTTGGATCATTCTTTAAGTATAGATGAGTAGATATGATTTCTAATTTTAAGCATATAATAATTAAATCAAATGTATTAAGACTTAGAGGGAGACAAATTCAAAATGTAGTGCTTACAAAAAATAAGCGGCCGTGCTTTGCACGGTGTGAACACTAGTTTAAGTTGAATTCAAGAGAATCATTATGTAGGATTATCAAATACTTCCTTTTATACATATCCTATATGAAAACTACTGAAATTTATAATTCTTTCTACCCTGACCTCAACTTCCTAGCAAGCCATCTAATCTTAAATCTGAATCGGAAATATATACAATTTAAGCGGGTCAACAATACCAAAGATAATGAACAAATTCCAAATTTAATTGTTATTTGAAACATAAAAAATATGATTATGATAAGTAATTTTGGTTTTAGTTTAAGTGTTACATCACTAAACCATAAAGACACCTAGAAACATTTGTAGAAGATCAAGATGCTCAACTTAAAAAGTACAATTTTTTTACGATATAGTTAACAGATACACATACGTAAACCATTAAAATAAAACTTTATCATCATGTGCATATAATGGTGCAAGTGGAGCACACGGCATCAACTCCTATACGTTACCAAATTCTACATTCCTTTTGCGACACACGAACCAATTTTATAAAAATAAAAAAACTTGTAAGAATTGACAATTTCTTCTCATACTTACATTGTTGATTGTTCCATTCCCTTCACTTTTCTTTCTTATTTTTTCACCCGTGAGCGTGACGCTGTATTATTTTGGTCTAGGTTTCTGTTGCCGTCAGCGGTTGGAGTCAAAGCGTTAGATGGCGACCGAGAATAGTGCGAAAAGGACTAACGTGCCCCCCCGCATGCACTTTATTTGGTTGGGGTTAGTTGGACACTTGCGCGTGGGGTTTCTCTGGCAAATTTCACAAATCCTCCTTGACTATGGGCTTTTGCATAAAAAACATTTTAAAACATTATAAATTGGATAAACCCCCCCCATGAATTATCAAAATTATATTAAATCCCTCTTCACTATGTCAAACTTGTCATTAATTGCGCTATCTTGAAGGATAAAAGATCAAAACTATTATCGTTACTAATATCTTCAATAAGGCTTCCATAATTTTTTTCCACTCTGACCATTTTCACCATTTCACCTCTACAAAAATCTGTAAAATCTCTTCAAATCATATTAGAACTCATTCTTCCATTCTCCAAAATACAATTTATATTGAAAAACCCGTTAAAAAATCCTAACAACAAGTCTCATCAGACTCAAAACTAATCAAACTTCAAAAGAATTTGAGATTCTTAAGATCAAGTAAAAAAAGGATGAATTACTGATAACCCCCCTCATTTACATCTCCAGTGATACTATTTTTTCACCCTTTAGATACTTTATCGGCACTTAACAATCTTGAGTTAACATTTTAAAAAATAAATTGGCAATATACCCCATTCTCTTACTCGTTAAAAGTGTTAAGTGCAAATAAAAATAGTTGAGAGATAATATTACCACTGAAAGTATGATGAAAGCAGTTATTTGTCATTTCCGATAAAAAATAAAACTAGTATTAATTATTGATCTATTGCGGGGGAGATGAGAAAAAGGGTAATCCAGAAAATATAGTAATACATCATGACATCTTAAATTAATTGTTGTCAATTAATAATGTTTTAGTTGAAAAAAAAAACAATCAGAAGCGTTTTTACTAATTTATAAAGTTTAGGGTTTCTTTGCAAAACAACAAAAGCCCAACGTGTTTTACCCTCTTTTTTGTGTAGTTGGTGAGTTTCTCGTGAGGTGAAGTTGTTGGTCTTGAATTTGTCCGTTGGGAGTCGTGGACGTTGATGCGGAGCCGCCAAAAACTGAAAAAAAAGGGCGCGGGTCGGGTTTGGACGAAGTGGGTCACGTGATGCGGACTGGGGCTAACCTGGTCTCTTGTGTCACATTATTCACGCAGCCTAGGAAGTATCTTGGTCATAGTTACGGTCATGATTCTGGATTTCGAAAGTGGACCGATTCTTATTCCATTTGATAGGATTCATTTTCCTATATTTTTTTTACGTTATTCATATTCCTATATTAAAGAGTAGATATTCATTTTTTTCACTGCTATTCTCATAATTATAAAAGTAAAAAAAAATTACGTGCTATTTTAGACTAGAAATTTAATTCGTGCGAGTAATGTTGTATTTGAAATGAATCATATCCATTAAATATTAATGAATTAAGATCGAAGAAGTATGTTCTCATTATTCAAATGATAACATATAAGATCCAACTTCTATTGTTCGGCATTGGGCATATTTTATATTTCATGAAAGCATTTTCATTTTTATCCGAATACATCTTATGTTTTTGACTCATGTTCAACTTTATACACTTGTACATGCACATGCACATATCCATTTATTTTTTAAAAAAAAATTGACTTAACGTATGGATCTACCACTAATAGTTCTAAATAGATGTGATTCGTTAGTCTTGTTCGATCTAGAATTAACCTGAAAAAAATTTTCATGCGCAAGTTTCCTTATTGAGATGTTAACTTGGACCAAAACGTTACAAGAATCATACAAGATATTATATGGTGACCTAATTCTTTTCTAGGAACTAATTTTCGGTAGTTATGAATCAAAATGTCTATGGCAAGCGATCACCTTCAACAAATCTCTAGATTTGAGCATAGTAGTACCCAATTTGAGTAAGCGGTACCCAAATAGCGTTAGACCTGTTTCTCTTTTCGTGAAGGTGATGTGCTTAAACAAAATAATATAATATTTTACAAATTTTGCAAGAAAAAAAATTATATTAAATGAATTGTAAATTAATGAAATCTTTTAAGATAAATCCATGCGCCCCAGCTATTCCAAATACGCTCCAGCATATTTCCAAACTCACGAAAACTTGTGCCCATTACCGGATCCAAAGTCGGTTTCCTAACCAGTAGCCGACCCGAAACCCGC